GTGATGCGCAGGCTACTAAAAGTAAAATAATCACAAGTTGCATTGATTAAGGAACCAGAAACACTGTGCCTGCCTAATAGCCTAATAGATAATAACTCAATGCCACCGGGAATTAAGCCAAGAATCAAAACCACTCCTGGATCAGACATCAGTCGCCCCTAAAGATGAAAAAGTAATATGCTGGTTGAAGAATGGAAAAAAAACCACTAAGTTCCTCAACGAAGATACTATTCCCCTCAAGAAGAACGATATAGAGCAGAATTGAAACATCTAGATTTGCACTAATTAGTTCAACAATTCGAGCAGAAGACAATCAATGAAGGTGGTGGCAAAAAACAAGTGATAGCAACGCAAAAAAAACGCAGGAGCAGTGTCTTGCCGTAAAGAAAGTGATTTCTACATGTCATCTGATAGTTATTACACAGGCACGGATACCATTGCTACTGATGATAGTGCGATCGAGTCACCCCAAGTGAGACGGATGATGCTTGCTCGCGTCGGATCGCTCCGACAGTGAGATTAAACATACACCAGCAACTTCACTTAAGGAACTAGCGATAATTGCTCGACTCGATGGGATCATTACTGCTTTCGGACGAGAAGGCGCCAGTTGTTTCCATCCATCAGTTCATCACTTCAAAGCCAAATCATGGAAACTGCTCAATGCAGCCTTGCTTCAGGGCGCGTCCCCCACCGGTGCCATCTATAAATAATATAAATCACTCAGAGACTCAACTTCTCGGCAGCATAAACATGGCACAGAAACAAACAGAAGCTGAAATGTATGGCATTAGAGGTAATTCGGAATGTGCCGAATTAGTTCAAGAGTTGGTACCGTGATTGAAGAAACAACAAAGAAGAAAAACAGAACCAACATTTGTTGATGCGCCAAGACGTTCCAGCCCACAAAGCAACACGCAGCAAATTATAGCTGCCACTCCTTCGTCATATGCCGCAGATATCTGCAACACAATGAAGGCATTCTCTAAACATCGAGGATGACCACTTGGTCACGCCCATTGTTCCGGTATTTTTCGCGCTTCAGGCGACGTCTCGCTTGCCAGTGTGCCAACAACTTGCTAGAAATCCTCCGGAAAACGGAGGGACTAGCAGGGGGCAGGATAGAGCAACCGGGGCTGGCTGGCAGAGGAACGACTAAGCAGAACACATGACGGGTGTTGGAGGTGAGTGAGTCTTCCCGGGTGATAGCATGAATGAATCCAGCACAGGGTCACAGGCCACAGAGCCATCATCTGAGATTAATGGTTTACTGAGCCAATCTTCGTCGAGTGTGCCAGACAAGAAGCGGGAAACCAAAGCCATCTTGTGCATCTCGCATGGAACATTCTGAATGACTCATTTCTGCAACAGGCAAACAACAACGTATCAAGAGGGAGACGCATAAAAAGGTGCGTTTTCTGCACCTTGCCGAAGAAACGAGCATTCGCGCGCAGTACATTCGAGTGTTCGTCCACGCAAATACCTGCACAACATGGCGATCAAGACATGATACATGGACGGAAGCAGAGTCTCATGCCACGGGGATTGGTCAGTATACGAAGCCAAGTACACCATGTGAAAGTCTGCCTTTCTAGATATGCCTTTTAGCACCAACAAAAATAGATTCTCAACGGCCTCAACGAAAGAGCCAGCAGTCAATGGCCTGATCACGAAGCAACGAGTCAATATGTGCAGACGAAACTACCTCATGAGTATTTGCAACAAATCGGTACTGCCAGAGCCATGACAGAAAAACCAACTGTATCTAGAAAATCGCCCCAATGGAAAGAGCAAGATCACAGCATCTGATGCTTGGCTGAAGTGCAGTGAGGCCACTCAAGGCCGTGCCGCGCGGAGAAACCGCCGCAGTACATGCCAGAATTAAAACCAACGCTGCAATGACACCTCTCTTAGGGAGTATAGAACTGTTGGCAGAAAGAAAGTTAGTCGTTTGTTACCTTTCGAGGAGCTACGAGAATATAGGAAGCACGAAAACAGATGCGCGTATACCGGATGCAATTAAAACAATTGGCGAACGTGTCCAACACCGCGACAACCCGCTGCCATGGCTGCACCGCAGATTGAAACGAGTAATACTCTAGTTTCCGTCAGCATACACCTCGGATAGAAATGCACTCCATGCTGTCCGACAGAGGACTCTTTCCTGCCGCTTGCGGAGAAAGCACCAGAAACCAGTGGCGCAAGTCTTTCCGAGCACACAACATGGAACAGTGGAGACAAGCTTAGGACAGAACAATATGCGATGTTTCCATTGGCGCATCTGGGAGCTCAAGGTGCTAGATCTCATCACCTCCGTTGCTTTTACTGTCGTAAACGCGTATTTCTGAATTGAATTTCATAATATGTTAGGAGATAGTTAGCATTTAGAGCTCTCTATACTACTGTTGTTATGTTACATGAATCACGACATAATATATGCCAAATGCTTATTTCAAGGTACAGACTCGTCTCCTACGACGCGGTTGAATTCGCATAATGATCAGCAGGTAAATAGTCTCTTCGGTACGCGAGGGATTCTGGAGTTTTGACAGCAAGAACAGAAGTCACCGGCAGGGTGGCCCGGTCAGTGTTATCCAACTGGTATTATCACTGAAGAGGATCCCAGCTATCTTAGATTTTAACGTCACACCAAGTGTATAAGCACGAGACCTGGTCGCACTGCTATCGTCGGTACTAGCTCAAACGTGACCAGACCAGCGCCAACGTTTGGCAACTACACGGCAGTGAAATGAGGACTCGAATGGAAACGGCAGAAATTCTTCCGTACTTGACATGGATTCCGTGCAGCCACCGATGGCTACAAGTCCCTGCAAAAGCTGACGACAGTATCTGCGCATGAAGTCACGATAAGAGACAACGTCGCTTTCTGCAAGGACGACAGTTTTGCCATGTCTTCACGGTAATAATATATACCGATAACTTGAATTATCTGGCATTTCTCCTTAAATGCATGCTTATATTTTGTTACTAAAAACACACAACACACACACACCACACCACACACACACACCACACACACACACCACCACACACACACACACACACACACACACACACACACACACACACACACACAACACACAAACACACACCACACACACACACACACACACACAACACACACACACACACACACACACACACATTATATATATATATATTTATATATATATTATTTTATGTTACAGAACGCCTGACAGAGTGTGGTTGTTCTCGGTATAAGAAATGATGGTTGTGAGTTGGCAGTTGAAGATTATACCGCGAGCCAGAGTGCCTGCAGTAAGATACATTTTGGACAAGTGGAATCTTTGCAATATTCAGCATGAGAACGTCGTTCGCATTGAGGTAACAACGGTTGCAATAATTCTTTGCACATACCATTAATGTATTCTAATGACAACTTTATTTACAAAACTCATATAAACCATCGTGAAATCAGAAACCTCAATCGACTTAAGCCAAAACACGAAACATGCGCGTATACATTCGTGAAATTTGGCATTTCTAGTGACATCGGTTGCAAAGATAGCAGTTCTTACAAGAATCTTTCGCGCGTTCATACAAAAGGCAAATCAAATCAAAATGCAATCAATTTGAAATTAGTTACTGATATTTGACCTTTCTTTGATTATATATTTACATCCCAAGGGTTTCACGTGCGACTGAACAGCTTGGCTACCTTACATGCAACTGTGCGACTACAACCTGCGAGAGTACATGCAGTGCTCCTGAGCAAGGCGACTTTGCAGCTGCAGGCTAAGCGGCTGCGTGCAGCAGCTCTTCAACGCTGTTCGCGTATTTGCACGCGCTGCGAACCGAGCGGTGTTCTCCACGGCGTCTTCACCCTTTGCAACGTGCTCATCGGCGCCTGCCGACAGTTGCGACTCGCCGACGTCGCATCGGCCTTCTGACGCGTCGCGCAGACTCGTTCAGGGCTACCGACGACGGCTCGCTTAGCGCCCAATGCTGGCTGCCCCCGGAGTGCACGCAAGTGTCTCCGGCGGCATATACGCCCTCTTCCGACGTACATTGCGCAGGCGTGCTGGCTTATTACATTCTCACCGGCGGTAAGCACCCGTACGGCGATAGCACGTTTCGCTGCCTGCAGAATCTCGTATCGGGCGTGCCCGCGATGAGTTACATTGGCGAGGAGCTCGACCACCTTCTGCGGCGCATGCTCAGTAGAGACGTGCAGCGCCGCCCCTCGATGCAGCAGGCTCTGCGTCATCCATACTTCTGGAGCGACGTGAAGCGGGTCGGCTTCCTCGAGACGATTTACGCAGAAATGAAAGTGCGTGCGCGGGCAGCCGCTGCGCACAGTGCCCGCAGCAGCAGTGCCGCCGTTCAGCGCAGTCTTCCAAGAGGCGACCAGTGATAATGTGGGACGCCACCACATCGATAGACTCGTGTGGGAGGATCCGGAATCGGACGAGGCTTACGCGATACTTTCCCAGATACATCCGTTTCGCGGTGCACCTGCGAACTAACTTCGGCAACTTCCGGCCAGCCACCAAGATAAAATTATACAGGAATCCGATTCTGTTTTTGTTAGCGAAATTTCCGCGCGTTCTCATTCGCTATGTACGGAGTAGTCATCAACAGTCCGTGGAAGGATACGATTCGCGTTCTCCGAGATTTTGAGCTAAATTACAACATTGTGAGATGAGATGGCAAAGCGTATGCCTCATACAATTTACGATGACCATGCTTGACGCATGTTAATGTAAAGAGCTGTTGTGCTAATTAATGAACCCTAACATAACCATTCCTATATCAACGTGTCCCTGGTCTTACACTGACGTCGCCTGACATTGATTTCAGTGATCGTGACTGTCTTTGACAGTTAGTGCTCTTGTTTCTACAAGCTTCATCTAAAACTCATCGTTTAGTTTATGAATAACATAAAAGCCAACACGAGATAGAGTATGTAAAAAATTATTGGTTCTGTTAATTAGCGTAACATAGAATGAATGAATATTACTATAGCATTATGTAATTTATGTAATATGTGAGGAGCACAAATTATGTAAACCATTTAGTAAAAATCGAACGCATCATTCGTCATTCTTCCTAAAAACAACGCCGACTTAAGCATAACAAATGTGTTTATTTAGTTTTCATACGTTTTATGCTATGTAAACACTAAAGCAAACCCGCTCATATCTAGGCGCGACACACTCAGATTTCGCTTACATGTAAATCATTTTTGGGTCAAAATATTATTTCCTATATATAGTGTCCACGAGCCTGGACATGGGAAAGAAGATTTGCAGAGCATAGGTAGGTTGTTTGATTGTAGTGATAATACAACCGTAAGATAAACAAAATGAATAAACTAGCTGGAAAACAGCCAGCAGTAGCGCAGTGTGCACTAATCTTGTAAGAAAGTATGACCCTGCCAGATAGCCCTGGACAGCTGTCTAGGTGTACAGGTGTCACTCACGCTTGGCAACAGTCCAAGGACTAAGCGTAGTGCTAAGGCGAGGTAAGCGAGGTAAGGTATCGCGACCGATACACTGCGTGCTATAGTTACGTGACGCCAAAAACCGTCTAGAAACGGTATTA